GGGGGGGGGTTGGAGCCTATGTTGCTCTCATGCTACAGCCTACTCAGTTCTACTGATAATGAGTTTACCTTCAAAATCTTCGCCTTCACCCTCTCCCCTACTCTGTAGATAGTTTCAATGCTGTCAATATGATCATCAGAAAGCTGTGAAACATGGCATAACCCGACCTAGGCAAAGAAGGAAAACAGACAGACACAATTACACACTAAATATATATAGAAACCAACTGTTGCCTTAAAATGAAAGATTGTTTCTCATGCTCGAAAATTCAAGAGAAATATGTAGTATAAGCAGTTAAAAGTTGCAAACAAACTATTAACTATCAAAACCAATAAGATGATTAATCCTCAGCATGATATAGCATTAGCAAAAGTTGATGGGCCAAATGTCACAATCTATAGTCTGTTAATTGATGGCCTAAACTTTGACCCTTGAATAGTATGTTGTCGCATGTTCAAATGTCACCGAGTGGATGCATATTCTATAAAAACTCAAATAGATCATCATCTTAATCATCTATAATTACTCAAAAGGAAATGACAGGCAGCCAAATGAACAGATTAGGGGCATTTGGTTCCTTACCAGGTTTGTGTGATCAACTGTGATAAACAAACCATATGACTCAACACGCCTGATCTTTCCAGAAATAATATCACCAACATTAAGACTATTAAAATCATTTATGTCAGCCTTTGATACAGTGATTGCGCCTGATGTCTTAAGGGTGACTTCCACTCGCTTAGACAGTGGCTCCACGGATACAACCCTGTGTTAAAGCTAGCATTTTAGAACATGGCCATAACCAGTATGTACATGAAAATAGCATCACTAGAAATACTTACCTTCCAATGACAAGTTTTCCAATAGGGAATTCTTTTTGGGGATTTTCGACATAGCTGTCTGACAAGTTTGAGAGGAGGATTTTGGCATCAACCTCGCGGGAAAGCATAATGAAACATCCTTTTTGCGTGATGCTCTTAACATAGCCCTATTATTAGCATTATGAAAAGAAAAAAAAAAAGCAAGATCCTAAGTATGAATCTTGGAGAATAACAAAACTAACAGAGTAGGACAATCAATGACACAAATTTCCATTAACATCAACAATGAACTTATCAGCTGTAACATTCTAGAACAGAGAATGTTACAGAATCATCACCAACCAAAAGCAGGAGCCAGGCAGGGGCCATGACCCTTCCATCTTTAAGAAGTGCAGAGAACCTTGCAATTTTATCCAACTATGAGCCGTCCAAAGTGAGACACCCCCCCCCTCTTCACTCTCTCTCTCTCTCTCTCCACAAAAAGAAAAAATCTTAAAAATGCTTTATGTCAAAAATCAAGAAAAAAAATGACGAAACCATTTTTTTCATTCACTGTTGAATTGAAGTTATTATCTTTGTAATATTACTACATGCCATTTTTCACTAAGAAAAATCTAATTAAGTTAACAATAAAATGAAATTTCTTAAAAAATCTAACATTCTACCAAACACAGGTCTTAACCATTCTTTCCTAATAAAGTGTTTGGAGGAACTTTGTTGGCCCTTTTTACTTTTATATTAGTTTCTTGGGATGACCGAGAACTAAATTAAATTTCCTCTAGCCCCAAAAAGAAAATTTTATGGCTCTGCACTTGCATTGAACCTGCCGTTCAAATGAATACTGGACCATATGAAAACATTTCAATATGTGCTCATGGATTGCCTCAAATTGAAACTACAGCGATCAAACTGAAAATAACAAAATTAAAAGGGTGAAGTGTGTAGAATGCCCTAAAATCCATTATCATCCAAGTTTCTTCCATCTTGATATTATCAACAGATCAAAGATCTGCTTTCTACCAGCTGAGTGGAACTATCTATGAGCAGCATTGCCAGGGCACTTCAAAAATACCATCCCAGCCATTGCCAACTAATAACAAGGCATTGAATGTCTTAATGATGTCCAATTATTGGTAAACAAAATTCTCTAATTTGAATCGTGTGCCATGGTAGTTCCTAGTTAGTAGCTGGCTTCTGCTACTGACAGTTCGATTGGAATGTGGAGACTTTAGAGGCTAGTCATGCCTTATGGCTCCCAAAAATAAACATGCTCTTATAAGAACAATTTCAAATTTCAATGCAATGAACTTGAGATTCCACAAAAATCGAAAACCACCAAAAGCACCACAGGAATTCCTGCCCTTTACACAAAAAAGACAAGACAATGTACATTTAATGTTACCAAAACACAGTTTTCCAGTCCATTCTACCTGACATTGAACATTATAACCATACAACCAAAAAAACCTCATACATAAAGATGCTAAAGAAATTATTAGAAAATTACAATGAATTTTCTTCTGATAGGGCAGTGACAATGGTTAACAAAAACTTTAAAATATTTAACAAACAGCTTGTTCCCATCCCAACACAGAGACCATTCACACAGCCCTAGAGTAGTACCTGTATAACCATATTTGGATGAAGATCCTCGATCTTTTCTACACGTTGGCTAGAAGAATTCCTGTAACCCATTAAGATTACCCTACTTAAAGTAGTATATTATAAAATGGCAACACCAGGAGCATATAAATAAAAGAAGGAACTCAGCCAACAAAGCAAATAACAGGAACTTCAATAGATCCACATTTTAAATGGCAGCAAGAACTTTAAATTCTAAGGCACTGTACCTCAGACTAACAACGAAATAGTTATATTAAACCATAAAATTACATAAGCATATGATATTGATTTATATTGACCTTTAGGATGTCCAAAGCACATAAATCATATAACTCAAATAGAACTATTAAGCTATTCATTGAAATCAACATGCAACTAATAATAGGATTATGTGGTATGGTACACCCTTTACCGCAAAGCATAATAGAAAAACCTAGATCAACCAATGATAAGCCTGGTGCAATGACAGCTTCATGGCTTCTTAGATTGAGGGTTTATTATCTGGGAAAAGGGCAAATTAATAATACCTCCCTGTGAAGAGAAGAATACATTAATTCCATATAATTTGAAAATTTACACATAACCCCCTGTGGTTTGTGTTGGATAAAAGTGAAACCATTAAAAATTCCATCCCAATTGACAGACTCGAACCACATGCCTAAAACATGACTCTGGATTTGGAGTGAAGTGTTTCCCTCCCAAATTGTTAACTTTAATTTCCAACCTGCCATTTTTTGCATTCTTTTTGCTCCTTCCTCAAATGGATACATATGAAAAATATTCTCAAACAAAATTACTCAAGCTGGAGCTAATACTAGGATGGTGTTAAATAAATCAGCAGCTCATATCCTGGATAAAGATTTTCTAAGGATGACATTTGAGCTGGGTGGTTTACAAAGCTAGACAGGTCTGGATTAAGTCCTAGAATCGTCTGTTTTGCTGAGATCAAGAGACTCTTTAGTTAGTAGCAATTTTTTGTTGTTGCACATATGATTGAAAATTGTGCCACAGCAGAATTTTACACTGTTTTTGATGTTACCTTATTGAAAGTGCATTTTAGTAATTTGAGTGGAGAAAATATGAGATCTGGAAACATTGAGCTCATCAGTAATCTGTTGACGTCAGGGAAAATTGGGAATTTATTTTTTTTGTGGAAATGGTAGGACTATCAGTTCTGAACTTTCTTATGACACCAAACTTTCAAAAGAACATTTGGCTACTATTAATCAACTGTTCCAAGAACTGTAGTTGGCCATAAAGGGAACTTCCACTTGAAGATGATGTTTGCGCAATATTTTTAAATGTTTTCACAATCACACAAATAATATGCAAGTATAAGGCAGGAGAGCACTGCCCCTTTTTTCCCCTCTGATTACAATTTCTTTGTTCCTTGATGGACCTACCAATAATGTTTCCCGCAAGACCCCCTTCTGACTTTCCTCCAAGATCAATTTTGTGCTCAATGTTTGTTGTGAGGCATTATTTATGTAGATATATACATATGTGGGTCTGCTGTGTGTGTTGCGTATGGATATGTTAGAGAGAAAAACAGAAGAAAGAGGAGGCTGTTTGGTTATAGGTATTCCTATGTTCAATTAAGGAATAAAGGTTAACGCTATCCAAATAAAGAAAAAGGGAGGTTTTGATGTTGGATAAATGAGCCATTTATATACAATTCATCAATTTCAACGGAAAACCTAATGGCTTCAGTTTAGTCCAAATCATCCAAGGTTATGTGGAGGTTTTTCAATACACTAAGAAAAGTGAGCCAATATGATAAATGCTTAAACTAGTTGGGCTGAATGATTGAGCATGCTTGAATTGCATGATTTCTAAGCCTTGTAAGTAACTCTTGCTAATACCCAAGAATCAAAATTTCGTTTTGGTGCATTGTTTCGGTTACCTAGGGAACGGAAACGTTTCGAAATGTTTCGACATGTTTCAAAAACAGAATAAAAAAATTAAGAATTATTTTTTTAAAACATTGGTCGAAATATACCAAAATATCTTGAAATACCTTGAAACATTCCGAAATAATTGTGCTAATGCAATGAAATATAATAAAATATTTTGAAACATTATGAAACACCTCGAAGTATTAGAATTTCGATTCTATCACTGATTCGTTTCGATCTCCTTAGAAACAGAAACGTTTCGGATGTTTCGACCGAAACGATATTTTGATCCTTGCCAATACCCTAGTGTAAAATAAACAAATAAATAAATAATGTGCATGAGAAGTAGAAACACCCCTACAAGCAATATAAAATTCAAATTGACACGATAATGGCAGGCATGCACAATTTAGGACTTATTTTTGTGGACATTAGTTAAATGCATTCCTAATCAGTAAAGCTTCTAAACTTACACATTGTCGCTGAGTCCACCAAATTTTTGATCATCCATGTGATTTAAAGACGAGCGTAATGACAAATCAACATGGAGAGTGCTCTTGGCCGAAAAGCTAATTGCACAGACTTTGCATTTCACAAATTTTCCTTCATGATATCCAGACAATGGGTCAGACACCCATAAGTCCGTCAGTTCGGCAAAATGAACCTTACCATATAGGTGTGGATTGATTTGAACAAGTAAGCCACCAACATCTGGAAGTATCTTGGATATCCTACCACCCACTACATCACCTTCACGAATATGGGATGTTGCATTTGCAGTTGAAAGGTTGCCTGAATCATCTTCATGACCAAGAGTTCCATTGTAAACAGCCACCAATGGATGCAGAACAATACGTAACAACGACTTCTCCTTGTTAGCAGATAAAACATAGCCAGAAAGAGCTTTTCCCACAAAAAACCTTTTTTGGAATTCCTGGAGTTCTGTAGGTTCACATGAACTGTCAAGAATATAAAGTTGAGCCTTCACATCTCGAGATATTGCTAGCCACACCCATTCAGCGTCCACTTTATACACGAAACCAGTAACATGTTGACCAACAGTATATTTGAAATCTCTATTCATAAGTCTGTCCCCTATTTCACTGGAGCCTGGATATGTAATGCAATTTGGATCACCATAAGCAACAACACTACCACCAAGGCAACCACATTACTTTAGTGTATCATACAGAATATGACTACTTAAAATGTTCAGTTTATTAGCTTATAATAGAAAAATTAACACTCCTCAAAGGAGCCACAAATATTAAACAAAACAATGATGAACAGTTCAGGTTTGATAACTTGGACAGAAAGTGACTATTCAAATTTGATTCCAAAAGAATAGACCACTTGATTGATAGAAAAAAATATTCCGCAAAAGTAGTATTATAGTATTCATCATGTGCGATATCAAAGCTTTGAAAATGAGGAGCAAACACTACAGTTTTCAACTAAGTTAACATTCATAACAACAAAGCAGTGAAGACGATGTAGTGATTAAAAAAAAGAAAAGGATTATATGAACAAATTTATAGCGGTGTTGATGAAAAGGCAACAGAACAGAGGTTGAAATTTCCCATTGAACAAGGCTGCAGCAAATAGAAAAGCTGCAAAGGCAACATTAGCAGCAGAGAGCCTCAATTAAACTAACTAGGGCGATAGTTGGGCAGCCTATACCATTGACAAATATCCAGCAGTAAGTAACCAGTAGCATGGTTAGGGATGATGATTGTGGCGTATTGAATAGGATTTGGGGCCGTAAGGGGCCAAAAGTATTGCTCATGAAGACATTGAAGTAAGATAAACAATTTCCACTGATAGCTCACCTGTAAGCATTGAGGGTTTGATGGATAACTCCCATTGATAGTTTCTTCTATTGATTTCTGTCATATTAGACTTTGAAACAATTATTGCAGTCAGTGTCTGCCCAATTCTGAAGCTACTAAAAGGATCTTCAGTAACATTATTATCAACTGCCTGTCAATTTACAAGTTCAAATTTAAACAACCAAGCAATTGAAAGCAATAAGGCATAACTGGTAAAATGGAGATCAAATAAACCCCAACGTAACAATGTCAAATTAAATTGTCCTAAACATCTTTACCTCTGTTATGTGCACCCTCCCATGAAAACCAGATCCAAATTTCAATCTCAGTTCAAGAGGCTTTATTTCAGTAATCTGGAGAGCCACAAAACAGAATAACATAGATTCTCGGGCCAAAAATGAAGAAATCATGATTAATAATTTTTCTGTTCAAATGAAGCCCTCAAATATGCACACAAAAATGGAAGCCCAAAAAATAAGCAATATCCCAACCTCTGCCTGGACAAGTGATCCCACATTATATCCAGATTTCTTCTTTGCCCGCTTTGAAGTGGAAGTCTCCGCAACCTCACTAATAGATTTAAGAAGTAGAAGCAACCTCCCAGATGTCGAAGGGGTTGGAAGAGCCATGATGGTCGCAATGACACTGCACCAAATAAACCATTTACTTCCAAACCCACTGAAAAACATTCAAAATTTGTGGTAGGATAGCAACAATACATGCAAAAAATTCAATGACAACAAATGAAAATCTGAATATCAAGCCAGAACTTTTTGTCTGCATTACCCTAAAAATTTTCAAAAAAACAGTGTCGCACTACTAACGTTAGAATTATTCCAGGAAATATTCCAACAAATATCGTTCGATGGAGGAGAAAAATGTATTCACAGCCCCGGTAGTTGTTTGGACATTGGCAAGCATCTCACCTTGAACTTCCAAATGAGTTGGTTTATATACAACTTTAGTCCAATATATTTTCCTTTAAAGGTTTGATGTTAATGTCCTGTAGTTATTCTCTTGGTCAATGCTGGTTCACGCCTTATACATACTGTGCGTGTTTGATCTTGCACAATATAAATATGAGAACAGATCTCTCCCTTGATGAACTCGAGTGAGTCAGTTGAATGGTCAACCCTGCTGCCTGTGAAGGCCTGTGAGGTCCGGTGGTAACCTGGAACGGCAACGAGAGACCCTCGTGAGTCAATGGAACGATCCAATAAGGCTGAGGGAGGTGCCTAGAACAAAGAAAGACAAGTTAGAAGGCCGCCGGAGTGTTAGAAGGCCTATCCCCTCCGACGATCAAGTCAGTTTTTGAGAGAGAGGAAGAAGAAAACACTGACTATAATTTGTAGCAAAGATTTTTTGTTTCATACCGTCTTGCCTTTTGCGAGGAGTATTTATACCTTAAATACTCATGATTGCTGTCAGTGTGGTCAGTAGGTGATCATTAGATACAGGCAACGTGCGCACTGAATCCTACGAGGAATGTCTTCTCTCCTTAATTGCTCGGGATCCCGAGCAACCAAGGCTATGCCATCGGCATGCCGACTGTTTAATGAGCTCCTCTCGGGGAGGATGCAATAAATGTCCAGACTTAGAGACATTTATTGTCTTTCACTTCCGAGCCTTACCGCATTGAATGCAGTCTCATCAAGGGAATGGTGTTATTAAATGCTTGTTTTCCCAAGTCGTGTGTCAGCAAGGGCATGCGGTCTTTCTGTCTCTGATGTGACATAATATGCCACGCGTCCATTCCCGATTGGCTGTGGCCCCATGTCTTCCTGTGCCTTCTGACACCAATTGTGTAAGACGAGGTCATGATAACTAACCTAGCCTAGCCTAGGCTAGTGACCTGTATATCAGTAGCTCTGCAAGAGAAGAGAATGTCATCCTGGACATTGGTACATATCGGTACCGAGGGGGGGTCGGTACATAAAAGCGACCGATGTACCTATATCAAACCGAGGGATACGTGTCGGTACGTAATCGTACTGGATGAAACTTGATCCCTATGATAAATACCTCGGGGGAGAGGGACTTGTGAACCGATGTGTACGTGATCTCAGTAACAAGGATTAGTGATACCGAGGACACGTGTCTTCATCTTGGAGTATTTCGGAAATGTCCCATCACATACTTAGCTTTTACGATTGATTGGCTCGAAAGATCCCTATGCATTCAAGCTGGGTTGCGATAAATGACAANATACCGAGGACACGTGTCTTCATCTTGGAGTATTTCGGAAATGTCCCATCACATACTTAGCTTTTAGGATTGATTGGCTCGAAAGATCCCTATGCATTCAAGCTGGGTTGCGATAAATGACAATTTCAAAAACAACTTCTAGGGATGTGGTAAATTCTCTTCTAAATGTGAGTGCCTAGGAATCTATGTTTGATTAGGTGAGTAATGGGAATCAAAAAAGGATTGGATAACCTTCCGAATTATATTATTTATTTTAATTATTACATTAATTATGAAATATTTGTTTGATTAGGAGTGTTTTAGTAATTTTAGTAGTGAGAGTTTTACTAGGAAACTATAATAGAGTTTTAGTCGGAGAGTAATTTGAGAGTTTGATTACGAAACTATTATAGAATTTTAGTAGGAGAATAATTTCTATTTTTGGTAGGAGACTTGGCGTATAGATATAGATGCATCCATACTGCTTTCATTAGAGATAAGAATATGAAATTATGAATATGAATAGATTTTTCCCTCCAGAGATTTGTGTTTTTTGACCTAATTGCGAGTATTTGGTGACCTTTCATTCTTCTCTTTCTTTCCCTTTCTCTCCTCTCCTCGTCCTACATCAGTGGGTTTTCTTCTTCTTTCATCTTTTTCAACCTTTGAGTTCTTCTAATCTCAACCCACTTATCATCTCAACCAACAAGGTAGTGTAGTGTTATTATTTAATACATTTAACCACTATAGATCATAAATTAATTGATGCAGAAACGAAAAAATAGAAATTACCAGAACAGCACCATCCACTCATATTGTAGCTCTTGACTCTCGTGCCCACCAAATAATGAAGTATTGCCATCATAAATGCATTGGCATCACTGAGGCACATGCTCACGCTACATTGTTGTTACTATATAGGGCTTTGATATCTATGTCTGGTTTTTTTAAAACCCATGGTCGATTCATTACTAGGGCAGGTCACTGATTAAGAATTAGTTTTGAGAGTATTTTTGGTCTATTTTGCACACCAACAGATTTTCTGACAGCATTGCACGTGACTTCTTATCAGTAATGATATTGGGCAAGGCTATTAAATCAGTTTCATCACTTTTTATCCACTAAACTACACCTTCCACATATATTCAAGCAGATCTCACTGCATTAGGCTCCTGATAGCGTCGTCACTTATCTAGTCAACAGCAAGGGCATGGCTGTTCAGACAACCGACACTACTACCACCACCAAATTTTGTATTGCTTTAGTTATTCTGCACAGGCATACAGTGATAGTTCATATGAGGATCAAGAAAGAGGAAATTCTCTATACTGAGATAAAAAAATGAAAAATTGGCCAAATGTGTGGAATACTTGCGTCCCTCACTAAAATTAAGTCAAGTTATTCCGAGTACTATATTTTTTCTTCGAAGTAATATGCACTTGGTTCAGTATATACTTGTTTGTTACATTTAGGAGTTAAAAGTAATTGAATTCAACTTTTTTAACAAACGGGTCATAAAAGTGACCCATGAGTTCCATACTGTAAGTAGATGTATTAACAAATCTATATCGCAGTTAGTGAGTTTCGATTGGTTTAAGTTAGCAATATTCCAGATTTTTATCTTTTAAGTCATAGTCCATGCAGGAGTAGGAGACTTCTAATACCCTTATATCATTTAAGCTTGCAATTCAGTACAAAATATCACAGAATTTTAAACTCCTAAGCAAATTTTGAATTCAACAAAAGCACGAGCTGTGATGCCGACCAATAAATTCAATTATGGACCACCTTTCCATGGTTCTAAGTTGGAATCGACCATCACTCCAGTTCCCAAAAAATGTTGATATCAAATTATAAACAACATGGGTCATCTGTTTGGGTATGCCTAGTAAGCTCATCCCTAACTGATGCAAACAAAGTCAATTTCAACCAGTCAAAAAACTTGCAACATTTCTTCCACTCGTTTAGTTCTTAGACTCCCTAAACATACAAGCTTTTTACACCTTTATCCCACCAAATTTTCAAACGTAGTCAATACAACTCTTACTTTCATAGTTTCATGTGATGTCCAACACCAAAGGGGATTAGAATAGGAACACTATACGAAGAGAGTGGGAAGCAATAGCAGCCAGCTAACAAATTTACCTCTGTCCATTAACAAATTGCTTTGGAGGGAACTTTTGAGTGTTGTAGTCAGTTATTGATGCATATCCTAAAGCAAAGTTATACTCTGGTATTGAAAGAACCTGCTCACATGTAACAAAACATAGGGTTTTCAGGAATAGAATAGACCAAGGTCAAGCTTTATAGGGGAAAAACTTGCCAAGTAATTCTCTTTCACTATCTCCACTACTGCATTCACAGTTTGATGCACCTCCAAGTCTTTGTGTGCTTCCTTTTTGCGTTTCTGAATGCAGAATCATGGTAGTTAGGCCCAAAAAGTAACTAGATGCAGTTGTATCTGTCTAAAAGACACAAACAGCAAACTGAGAATGTACATGTCATGTCAAAAGAAGAAAAAAAAATCATAACCAAAGAGGAAACAGTGACTGTAGATTATCTATTTGCATTTAAAGAGAAGTAACAACATAGAACAGCTAGTCAAGGTGCCACTAGTTTACTTGACTAAACCAAACCATAGTTATCAGAATTCACTAAACCCTTACAACCACAATTTGGGTACATCGATCCCAAATGAGGTGAGTTCACGATCCCGATTACCAAAATATACGATCCTAAATAATACACGCAGCACAAATATAAAATACATATTAATTAACATGTATACCGATTTATAATTACATATTGTCTTAGATAATAGAAAATCGAGCACAAATGTAAGATAAATGGTAACAGACTTAGTGTTTATGGATGTTCTATGATATAAAATGTTGTATAGTGGTGAAAACAATCTAGATAAGAGTTCCAAAATGAATTGTTAACCAAAATACCATACCAGGCACCAACTAACCCTACCCCCATCGTATCGCATACCTAAGAAACTGGCGTACCGTGTGCCACATACCTGTATCATGTACCAAAGCGACTCACAATCCACGTAACATTGAACCAAACCAATGTACTACAAGTTTCTTTATTTGTTAATCTATCTTCACGAAGAAAGGAAAACATATAAAAATGTTAAAAAAAATGGGACAGAGCACTTCCAAGAAAACCAAATTAAGGATAACCTTCTTCTGCGTTTGGACATCAGAACTCTCTCCTTTGAGTACATCAACAAAATCTGGCTTCAAAGATAAATCCACAAGACGTTCTATCCTAGCAACATCAAGAACTGCAGCTCGAACAGTGGAGCCAGTTTCCAAAGTTATCCCACTTACTGCAAAGAATTGTTGCACAGAGCATTACTTATTGAAACACAATAAATTTATCATCACTTTTCAACAGAAAGGACTTACACTGATAGTGTGTTATGAAGCCAAAAACATCATTATACTTCCGAAAACTGACGACAACTCCAAAATCCTTTGTCTCATGAACTTTTCCTTCGACAACATTACCAATATTAAAATTGTCAACCCATTCTAACTCAGAACCCTTGGAGTGGGATGATTGCAGCTTGGCAATCTGGATCAAAAAATAAGATCAGAACAAATTGACCCAAGATTCCTCAAAAGTATCATGGAATTATATATGCATGAATAAATCATTACAGCTAAAAAATAAAAACATATATGACATGTTAAAATCTAAAAACATCTCAAAACAGCCATAACAATGCATTGTATTGTTCCCAGTCAAAAAATTACAAGTTACTAAAAAGTGGAAGATGCTTTTGTTCCGGATTGTCAACACAACATATAAGCAATCTAAGATTTTATTAAAAGAGCTTAAAAAAAAAAGAACATAAACACACACACACATAGAGAAAGAGAAAGAGATTGTACCCCATAAAGGGAAAATATAATAATCAGGCTTACATTCTGAGAAACTGTTATAGGGAAACACTTAACCGGCCCCAACAAACCTCTAATTCAAATACTTCCTTTCACATGTTCCAAGGACGACATCCTAAATTTTCAGTTTGTTTTCAACCAGTGTAATTTCATATATGCAACATGTTTTGTGATAAATGTGAAAAATGAAATCTGTGTAAACCATACTTGATATAATCTCACAACCCAACTCTCAACATGACAGTCAATTGTATATAGAGTTCCACAATTTTGGCCAGCCTCAACAACAAAATGAACAATCTTGTGTTGTCTTATCCTCCATTGCTTCTCAAAAATATCAAGTGGGGACTTTGGTTTGTCATGAAGTAACCAGCATCTCATCAATATTTTGGATATCACGACCAACATCCTAACTCATGATATTCACATGGGCCCTTGATAGTTGCTCTTGCAGGGTTGCAAGATCCTTCCAACTCATTTATTGCTTGCTTTGTGTGGAAGAAAACCCAAACACATAATGTAATAAGGCAGTAGCCTGTAATAATAAGGCAGCATCCTGTTTGGCAAAGAAGAGCCATTGCCTAGTGCAGTGGTAAAAGTGTAGGGGCAATAACCGTGAGATTCTGTGCCAAATTAGAGGGCAACCATTTTGTGCAAATAACGTCAAAGGTTAAGTTTGTACCAAATACTCTCGATCAACAAGAACAAACTAGGTAATGACCCTAAATTTACCAAGTGAACTATTCGCAATATCCATTATGCATGTATTTTGTAAAGGAAAAAGAAGAAAAAGTTGCAAGTTCATATTCCTTTTGTCCCTTTAAATGTGATACTTCAATACACCAAGTCAGTAGTTTGGACAATACAATCCATGGTTAGATAGTAAAAGCATATATTGTTAAGTGTGAACATGCATATATATTGTCTGTTTTCTGTGCCATTTGATTGGAAAATCTGAGCATGCTTGATTTAAATCTTATAGTTAGAACCACTGGTTGCCCTTTAAAGTTTTTAGGACTCCTTTTAGGAAGCAATCTGATGCCCAGGTCTTTTTGGGATCCTATCATTAAGAAAATAGGGAAAAAGATAGGTGGAAAAAAGTTGTCATTTCAAAGGAAGGTGGATTAACTTTGGTTCATTCTTTCTTGGCTAGTATACCAATTTATTTTATTTCTCTTTTTATGATGCCTTGTATGGTTGCTAGGAAGATTGAAGGATTAATGAGGGACTTCTTGTGAGAAGGAGTGGGGGAGAGTAGGAAGGATCACTTCATCGGCCGGGAAGTGGTGCCTAGGTCGTCTAAAGCCAAAGGTGGTCTTTCATTTGAAAAGTTGTTGGAAAGGAAAGTAGCTTTGGCTAGGAAATGACTTTAGAGATTTCTATTGGAGCAAGATTCATCGTGGCACCCTTTCATTATTTGTTCCATCATTGAGGATTTGGAAAATCGATGTACCTTTAAAGGTGCTATTTTGTTCACGGTAAGATTAACAATAATGATATGCTTCAAAGAATAAGATCTACGACTTGTCTTCTTCCGCAGTGGTGTGTAATGTGTAGAAATGTGAATCATCTCTTTTTGCATTGCCCCATGGCATTCTCACTTTGGAATAACTTGGTTAATTTTGTGGGACTTTGTTGGGTGATGCCATGTCTTCTATGATGTGTATGGATGATATGGGGTGCGGTGGAAATAGGATGATGAAGAACCTGTGGCGGTGTTTTTTTTTGGTCTACTCTTTGGCTCATTTGGTTGGAGAGGAATGCAAGGATCTTTGAAGATAAAAATGAGGACCTGGAAGGATTATGGGACCAGATAGTTTTCTTGGCTTTTGTTTGGGCATCGGTGGCTAAGGAATTCAAAAACATTCCCCTTTTTTGTATTAATGCAAGTTGGACAGCTCTGTGTGACATGTAGCATGGTTATTTTCCATTATTTTGCTTTTAGGATTTTGTTTTAACCCATCTTTGGGTTGTATGTCTTATTCACATTAGATAGGATTCGTAACTATTTTATAAATGTTTATTAATCAAATATTTAATTCCTATTGAAAAAAAACGGACGGATCTACAGATTGGAAAAATTACTCTCTAACAAAAGAAATAAAACTGAAGGATCTGACTGATAGAGCAAGCACAATTAGAAATCAAATACAAAAAATTACAAACAACCAAAAAAAGTAACTACAAGAATAAGTATTAATTCTAACAAAAAAACTTATAATGCTAAAAGACTAGAATCACTAAAAAATATTTGGCAAATTTCCTCTATAAAAAGAGACCCTTGCAGTTCGCTATTCGGAATAGCAAACAAAAGCCTAAAGTACGGAAGTTTTTAGGGAAAAAACAGTAATTCATTCGTGTTTAGTTTTCTATGTTTCTCTTCAGTTTCTTATTAGAAAAGAAGATTAAAGAGAGACTATCTTCTTTCTGTTGGGTCATCCACCAAAAAGTTACAAATTGTGAGTGTCAAATCTTACCTTCTCTTCCAACAGAAAGTATTCTTGAATAAAAGACGCATCTGTCGAACAGCACAATGACTGCTTTAGAGAGAGTGTTATCCTACCCGTTTCACTACTAGCCTGAAAGAAAAAACCCAAAAAAAACAGAGAGGTTAAAAAGCTTGAAACTGAACTTCTCATATGTAATTACTTCAAAATTTTAGCACACTTCATTCACCTACATTGAGTATGTTGCTGCGAACAGATTGTCCAATATAGAAGACTTCAGAAAGATCGCTTCTTCGGTCATCAGTAGCCTTCGACACAACAAAAGGTATGGCTAATTCAAGCAGTCACCAAGATACTAATGGTCGGCACACAAAAACATGTGCACCAACGCACACATGAGGAGAGAGAGGTACTCTAATAAAATTTCACCTTGTTTTTGGGAGCAAAACCAGTCAAACGCCCAATGAAACGTACAAAGCAACCAGTTTCAATTAAGTTGCACACATACCCCTGGTTCAAACATTTATTAAAGTACTTGTAGTTAGAAAATTTTCAGCAGCAGAACCTTCGGCAAATTTCAGTCATTCTGGCCTTTATTTGCAGTTCACTTCTGAAAACCAGAAGAAAAAAAAGCCAAAAAACAGAAGTGCATATTCTCCATCATTTTTCTACTACTGATTTTCTATGCAATGGGTTTCAGAAAATGTGTCCAGATAAAGATTAAATTGTTCTCTGCACAAAGTGTTCCTAGGGAGAAAAAGGTCAGCATATAAAACAGCAACCAAAATTTCTTACATGCACCACCAAGTGAGGTCGAACTTGAGTGACATCCACAGGGAGCTTTTGAGCTGAGTTAATAAGAGAATGCTTCGCAGAGAGTATCAAGTTGCTGCCCTCAATATCTACCCAGTCAAAAAGAGATCCCCAAGTGAATAATCAATGATTCAGTATCAAAGTCGACATCACATAGCCTTTGTCTAGCAGTGAAAACTAATAGTACTTAAGCCAACAAGTAAGCATAAAGGTGGCAAAGATATTTTGGACAGCAAAAGCGAAACACTTGAGTAGTCCTCGAAAAGAAACATCCAATCAACCATTACATTTGTAATTGCTTCCTCAAATATAAACCCGAAGAACCAAACAAAAGCCATCTTACTATGAGTACAAAATCTCCCTTACCAAGTTCTTTGCCTCAACGCACTTCCATTGATCACTTGTCCTCATAAAAGCCAATATTCCACGATTTTCAAAAATAATTGGCAAAGAGTGCAGTGGTCAACAAGACTCATACACTAACTTGGGAAGTGTTAATCAATGTGGGACAAGCTCTAACACTCCTAAGCACAGATGAGCCCTACTAGCACATGGAGAGATAAACAAAAGAATGGGAAGACAAATCCAGAGACATGACATGTGCACCTGTGGCATGAACAAAGGGAGAACCAATTGCAAAATTGTTGGAACTAAGTCATGCCCAATCCATTCCCAACACAAATTTCTTACCATATTAAAAAACCACAACTTAAAATCAATTAGCAATAAGTAGAGAGGCCCACAAGGCTCATATACTAGTTTGGGATGTGTTATTTTATTGATACGGAACAAGCTCTAAAATTCCCAGTCTTAAAGGACTCACAAGTTCCCAGAGCATCTAGTGCATTGTACACGAGTAACTAGCCATTTATTCATTTCATTATACTCTCTCTAATGCATTTTAGCAGAGGCACTCTCCTCTAGAGAAATCATTGGACTGCTGCTAGGAACATTAACTCAGGATCTAAGAGCTTTTCACATCGAAGATATTAACTCCTTAGATGTTGGAGGCATATTTGGAGATAAAAAAAAAATATAGCCACCTTTTTTAAGCTGGTGAGATTTTGATTTCCACTACAGCAGGAACAATGGTGCGGCTTGAAGACTTTCGGGAAGCCTTCACTATAAAATCCATTATTCGGTGAGTGGGCTAAAAGTCCCAGTTTTTGGAGGTATCATCGCATCTTTTAAGATAGAGAAATATTTAATGGCCTCTCTCTGATCCAGATAATACTGAAGGATCAATCACAAAATCACCTATCAAAGAGCACATGTTTAACCATTGGGCAGGATTGGACTGTCTTTGGCTTGTTTTTTAATGGTTCCAGAGGTTTGGTTTGTGAGGATCTTGTTAAAGCACAAGGTTAAGGAGAGTCTTTTTGTGTTGCTTATTGCTGGCTAACAATTTTAAAAAAATAGTAGAGATATTGAGTATAACAGTCAACAGGTGTAGTCAAGTGTAGAACTTGGCCATGTCTATATATAAGACATTTTTTACATAAGATGATCTAAAATATAACCCACACACAAAGCCATCAGCCTATTTCCAAGAAATTTAGATAATCAAGGTGACACTTTAACTCCAAAAACTTGCTAAAAGCTTAAACAAGACAATCACAGCAACATACTACATTCTATGGTCCTGAGAACAAATGTCAGGCACAGGACACTGCAAACAAAATTGGATTTTTTTTCTATTTTGTGTATTGTCTGGGATAAAATGTTTTATATTACAATGTGGTTGAAATAAGCACTCTGCTTATTTTAAAGCTATCATGCAACAGCAGAAAACATACAATGGGAACGTAAATAGACTTACATAACAAAACTGATTAATTATATGCTTGCTAGGTGCATATCCAACAGGCAACTAGTATCCGACTGAGCACTCGGTCCATTTTAAAGAGTCCATGCAACATAACATGAGCGTTGACTAACTACCAAGATCCTTGCCTTTTGGACCCAAGAATCTACATGAGTACTGCCAGCTATGTATTCTTGGTTATGTAGGCTTCTAAAGTGTGTCTTCTCCAACCCATAGATGGCTACAGCATCAAGAAATCTCACCGTGATCCCAAAGCATCACCCAATCCTCAATTAGTGCTGTGAATTTTATTATTACACTGAAAATGTTTTATAGCTATATACATATGTAAAAACTTCTATTCAATCCTACCTCCAAAGAACACTTTGATTCCATATTTAGAAACTAAAAGAATATATAGCAAGTAGTAACAGTATTAAAAATCTAATGAAGTTAGCTTACACAATTTGACACCAGATATGACCTATGGTTCATTAATACAAACATGTGCAGGAAGGTAAAAGATACCAAAATCCTTTTACCTGAAAAATTAGAAAATAACATAAAATCAATCTTGTTACTAAATAATCCGCTAGACACTCTAAAATAAGGTTAATCTAGACTCATCCAATCAAGCAAGCTCCCAAGTGGCCTATGCGACATCTAACTTGCTGCCAAATTAAAGCTGAGGATCAAAAGCATCCTTTGCATGTTACTTTGTTAAGTGAAGTACTTTTCATCCTTCACTCATTGGTAAACCTTTTGTTTCCCAATTTCCTTTTCTATCAAAATGAAGAATTTGTTGTGTATTATGCATAAAGCGCATACAAAATTGTAAGAAACAGATGTTACAGCAAACATATCAAAATCATACCATAATAAAAGCCTATGCGAAAACTAAGACTGCCAGATAATAATCAAGCAAGAATAGATGATGTGTCATTAGCAGTGTGAGAAGAAAGGGGCTGGAAGAGTACCAAGGACCAATAGTTGATCAAACTCATACCCTTGCTTCAAGGATGATGTCATCAAAGCAGAAAGCCCTGTATAGCAGTGTAAACAAAATAATGTTGTAAGTATATCTATCTACCCATATACATAAATCTGAAAGAAAATGGATAACAATCAAGGGAAGTAGCAATGTAACACATTGAAAGTGCTATAATGGCTACGTTTTGGGTTATTTGGAAAGAACATAATACAAGAATTTTTGAAGACCGTAGTGAGTGCGTGAATGGAATGTGGAACCGTATTCATTTCTTAGCATCTTTTTGGGCCCCGGTTTCAAAAGAAATTCCGCTTCTTGCTATTTTATCAGGATGGGGAGTTTAATGTGATCTATAGGATTTTTTGTTCATTGCTTTTGTTTGTTTGCTTTAGTTAGATATCATATCCAATTTCTTCTTATGTAATTTATCTCTTATTTATTAATAAAAAGTTTTGTTTCCCAAAAAAAAAAAAAAAAGACAGCATTAAATAGGGATCGATAATTCATGAGACAGAAAATAAATACCATGGTGATCTGCTAGATGTTCAGAAGAGATTGTACCCTTCATGTACCCTTTGAAATTGACATTTACAATTGTAGAATTAGCGGTTACACGCTCAACAATTCCAGAAACAAGGCTGCCCAGTTTGACCACGTCCTCCTCTGACACTCTGCAAGGAAATAAAAATAAAAAACTACAATTTCGATAAATAAAAAGAAAACTGTCTGGAATGAAGTGGCATATATGATGGGGTCACTACAAACTCTAGACTAACCTATACTCCTATGTCGAGTAAATTGGTGCTATGTATGAAAGAATGTGGAAATTTGGATCGATGTAACCACTGATTGAGCTAACAGTCATCATACATTTTAATAGCAAAAGCACTGAACTAGTTCACAGAATGTTTATCAAAACAAGTCACATTAACAAATTTCAAAAGCGACAGTCAAAGTCAATCAAGAGAAATCACCTCCATGTTTGAGTCAAATAAAATCAAAGTGATAATCAAGGGTAAACAAGTCAGTTGAATCCATTAAGAGCTTAATCTCCATTCAATATAATGAGATGCAAGATAAATACAAAATGTGTGTATGCAATGCCATCACCAACCCTTAATATCAATGCCAAGTTGAGTGTTTTGTCAAAATAATACCATCTTTCAAAATAATTCCCAATATAACACCGTCTCAAAAATAGTTCCCAATCTTATGCTTCTTAGCCAGGAAGGTCACCATGTTGGAAGAAGTTGCCATGTCCGCTCACTTTAATGCTTATTCTTCAAGATCATTTTATTGGTGATGTTACCGAATTTGGTTGTTCGGATTGGTTCAAAACCACTTGAGGATTATGCAACATTTTTTAATGCAAGGGGGATGAAGTGCAACGGGCCTAACCACAAGGGACAAAGTGAAGTTTGTCCGTAGTAGTTTTAAAGAAAGTGTTCTTACTGGGTAACCATGCTTATCGATGGTATTCTATAACTATGCCGAGTTGGTTGCAGGCAGGCTTGTTCCTGATCCTTAGGTTACATTAAAAACAATGTGTAGCCACCTAAAGTCCGTTATCAAATGGTCTAGTATAATCCACAAAATTGTCCAAAACACCCAATGGCCTATCTCATCAATTTATTGACATTTGAAACATGAGAGCCATATGACGATCACAAAGATAATTGTTTTCCAAAAAAAAAATACCTCCTAAAAAAAATGATAAGAAACATAAGTTTTTTATTAATATAATAAAGTGTTACCTCATACATGAGAAGAAACAAAGGTGGACAGATCATCCGACCGAAAAAAAACCAAAAGTACAAACAATGCATGGCACTACCACGAACAAAAAATCTCATCATATACCACATGACACATTCCAACTTGCAATAATACCAAAGAGAGGGACATTCAAGAAATCCTCCAAAACCAAGACCCAAAAAAAAGCCAAGAAACATATACGATTCCATAATCCTTCTACATCCTCAAATTTATTCTCAAAATTGCTCAAATTCCTTTCCAACCAAATAAACTATACAATGGCTAGAAAAGTGCAACCCTCTAAAGTAGTACCTTTTGTACCTCCTCTAAAAGCTTTAACACAAGAACAATCTATCGACACATACTCTTAGCAGAATTGTGCATCGCATGACCCAAGATTCAATGACTCTATTTTGAAACAAGAGACGTGATAAAAAAAGCTGCGTTCTTGAGTCTTCGGGTGTCTTCCCTACTAAGTCTTTCTTTGATTCTTTGTTGGATAAACCTTTGTGTCCTCTATTTACCCAAGTTTTGATGATATAGAGGCTAAATTACCCATTAAAGTGCAAGTTTTTTACATGGTCCATCACACATGGTAAGATTAACACCCATGGTATGCCTCAAAAGAGAAGACTTGATACTTGTCTTTCTCCCTAGTGGTGTGCCATGAGTAGAGGTGATACTGAAAGCATTGATCATTTATTCTTACATTGCCTGTTTTTTGTCCTTGCGGCATAAAGTATATACCTTGGCATGATTGAGTTGGGCTTTTACTGGGTCATCTTTCTCATTGTTTGTTGAAGATTTAAGGGGTTCTTGGAAGACATGATAAAAGGGTGAGTCTATGGATCGTTCTATCTTTGCTAGCTTTTGAGTTATTTGAAAGGAAAAGGAATGCAAGAATTTTTTGAGATTGATGCAAGATGATGGAGTGATTATGGGATTGTATTCATTTTTTAGCATCTTTTTGTGCTTCGGTTTCCAAGGAATTCCACTTTTTTTCATATTAGCAAGATGGAAAACTTGTGATTCACAAGCAACTTTTTTATTGTTTCTTTTTATTATCTATTTTTTTAGGTTGGATATCGAATTCACCCTTTTTTCATGTACTATTTCAATCAAAAAAAAATGCACATTATTGTGCATGAAATGATAATCACGTAAAATATGCATATCCTATTGACTAGAAGTTTCAGTGATGGGAAACAGGTCAGCTATTTTTTAGCACAGTAAACAGAATTTAATTTCACCATGTCAAAAATTTCATCTCCACTCATTCTATACAGACAGTTTTAGGAAACATTATGGGTTCAAGTCTTTGATTTTTGTGAGAGTGAGAGTGAGAGGTGGAGACAATGAGCTTTACTCTTAGGCTACTCAAACTTAGATTTCTTTTAGCCCCCAGATTGAAATCACGAGGACTAGTATTATTTCAATTGCAATTAAATTACACTAAGTTGACCTATTTAGCACACCAAAACAAAGGAACCAGAAAACTCATGGAAGCTGGGACTTGGAATTGCATCATGTGAGATCAACGCCTCCCAAACCCAACCAAGGATTTGAAAATAACATCCAAAACCCACCCCAAATCTGATCATATGTGTCCCAGCCACATTCCTATAAGGGAAGATATGAAGTTAAATTACTTGTTGAGCATTATGCCAACATTAATTATGAACTTCATCAAAAAACCCAACATGAATGTGAGAATGAAGCACGTGTTCAACACCACTGATTCTAGACATTTAACTGAGTAGGAGCAAATATATGAACAAACTCCTATCTAACGTAGTTTTGAACTACAAAGAATATGCTCATAAAAAGATTTGCTAGTGCGACAAGTGTTCAATAAAACCATAAAAACACAAATTTCAAGTGTTCAAACAACAAACCATAAAAACACAAATTTCAGGATTTGCTAACAAATAGCACACAAATTACGTCATAAAATACTAGCATTATCAATGGCAATAAGCACACCACGTAAAATCACTTTTTTATGAAATGATCTGATGAGTTATCTGCATTTACAATGTCATATATTCCTCGCCTTGCAAAATAGTCAATAAAACAAACAACCTCAAGTTAGTAGTGCTCTTTATTTTTGATAAACTATGGAATTCCTGGCTGTTATCAAACTGAGAGGCTGCTACAGGAAAACAGAACTCTCATTTACAATATAGAAATACTTGTGTGACGCTCGACCAGTTTGAGTGAATTGGTGACTTAGCAATCAGCAGTTAGACACAAATAGGAAGCAAGGGCTTTAACATTGTTTAGGGACACATTGTGTCTAGGGAAGCGAGATTGGCATGGGTTATTCTCCGAGATTGTGTCTTTGCTTGTGTAATGTTTTGATGGCTTTGGGAAAAATAACAGGGCTTTAACATTGTGGGCAATTGCTATTTTTAAAATAATCTGAGCCGTGTGGATGGAAAGAAACTGCAGATTTTAAGGAAAAAGTTGAGGAACTTGAGTTGCAATGGGATAGAGGAAAGTTCTTTGCATCTCTTTGGGCTGTGGTAACTAATGAGTTTCAAGACTTTCCTTTACCATTGACAGAACATAATTGAAAGTCAGTTTCTGATTGATGGAGGTTCTGCTGTATTTTTATTTGTTTATATTTTTCTAATTTCTTCTGTATTTGGATTAGATACCTTACCCACTATTTTTTAATTCTCCTACTTTCTATAAAATAAAGCTGTTGTTTCCTATCAAAAAGAAGAAGTAGGACGCATATGTACATATCTATACATAATATATAGCAATGTAATGGCTTGATGAGCTCAAAAACCTCATCCCAATTTCCTTGAATTTTTTATTTTTAAAAATTGTCAAATGGATTTAGCTATATGTCATTGTCCCTTTTTTGAGTAACTTAATTCCTCATTAATAGGATAACTGCTAAAATTTCACAACTATCCCAAGTTTATCTCTCATCATCTCTCCCTTTCCCATCTCTCTCTCACGCATAAACTCTCTCTCCTCTAAATCTATATTTACGTACTACATACTATAGCAATTAATTTAGGGGAGAGAATGGTTATGAAACTTTTCCTCATCAAATACTAGGATTTTTAAAATTTTAAATTATTTAATAAAAATCCATTGATCTCATCAAATAAAATCATTCAATGTGACTTATGTAACTACTTCCACAAAACTACTTTATTTCATCCTCTTTAATTTAGCACAATAATGGATAATTTTTTAAAATACGAGGGTCGGGGTTAGGGTTGGATGAGGGGTGGCAAATAGGGGGGTGGGGGTGGTAGGATTTTGGTTGAAGAAATTGAAAATATCATCGCACAGGTATATATATACATATATCTTGCCTCTTAAATAGGAGGCTGCCACATTTCTCTAGAGTTCATCCTTCCCTCCTCGTTCTTTGTTTTATCAACTTGAAGACTATATGCTCAGTATTCTCTCTCTCCACCTGGTTTTGCTCGTTCAGATCAATTGAGAACTTCAAGGCATCTCTACATAACTGTTAGCATCTCTGGTTTCATTTTCCGGTTCGTAACCCCTCTACACTCTTTAACCATATGTTGCTTTCTCATCCATCTACCCTCTAAGTCATCTTAGGTTATTATTTTTATGCTATGTATTACATAACTTAGTTTAACCTTTTAATGGACTACAAATAGCGACTTCTAAGTTATGCCTGTATAACTTCTGGTTACCCATGTATTCTGTGCTTGATTATTCTGGTTTCTGTACACGAGGTGATTATGGCACGCTTGATTGATTGATTTTTCAATAGATTACCCACATCAAGTGCTCCACTTTTTTCACATGAGTTTTTTAGTAAAGCCTGGGGCAGCACTGCAGACCAGGGCAGCATCCAAACAAGAACCGAAAATATAGTTCCGTGTCAAAATCTAAAAGTGGTGAACTCTTTTGTCAAATTTATCGCACATCACACCTTAAATTATCCCAAATATCAGTGATTTTCCAACCATTATCATCACAATAAGCGAGGTAACTTTGTTCATTACTATTATTAAAATTGTAACAAACGATCTATACATGTATTTGGCATTTATTGCAGACTAATTAGAGAAACATGAACCATCCATGTCAATAGTAAAGAGAAGCAAACCTTGCAGGTTTAATAATGAAACTAAGGTTGATTCTCCGTGAAACAGGAATGGAACTTGTAACTCTACATTTGACAACTTGCTCAACATGATACATTGAACTAACATCACACCCTGGATCTAACCCAAGTTCAGATCTGGATCAAAAAAGAAGAGCAATATGTTAGTGTCTCTTAAAAATGATGTCATATTGTGCGCAGGTGCATGTGGTTGTGTGTGTTGTCGTATTTAAGTCCATGAAAGACACCAATGCTTCTTCAGCACTTGTTGACCCATATTGTTGGAGACATGTAGAAAATTTAAAAATAGGCCCAATGATCAACATCAGCTAACAATGAAATCAAACAAAGTCTATCACAGTGGGGATGGGAGGTAAAGAAGAGTTTCATATATCTGCCATCTTTGTGCCTTACTCTGTAGCAATCCACCATGTCAACACGTCCCTATTGTCTCATGTCTTGGCCATTCAGCTATCTAATACAATACATTCCCAATATACAAGACTTCAAATATACATCCACTCCTATTCATATGGATTTAGTAATCCTCCTCCTCAATATTCAGTGTTTGAAATAAACAAGCAAGATATTAAAAATGGTTGCTTATGGCCTTTTTGCAAAACTATCTCTCTCTNTACATATGGATTTAGTAATCCTCCTCCTCAATATTCAGTGTTTGAAATAATCAAGCAAGATATTAAAAATGGTTGCTTATGGCCTTTTTGCAAAACTATCTCTCTCTCTTTCTTTCTTTTTTTATTCTTTCTTTCTTTTTACTTTGGGGTAAGTATCTGACATACACGATTTCATTTCGGTGCATAGTTTCAAACAGTTTGGAAACAAAAACATTTCAAAAACAAAGAACGATATTAGAATTTTGTTTGAAAAACATTTTGAAATATTGATTCAAACATACCAAAACACTTCGAAACACTGCGAAACATAAGAATTTTGATATTCAATCATTAATACGTTTTAGATTCTATGGAAACAAAACTGTTTTAGAAGTTTCGGCCATTTCAAACAAAATTTAGTTCCTTACATCCACGGTATACATATTTTAAACCAAGAACCTCTTTTGTGCCTCTTTTTTCGCCTTCTTTATTTCTTATTGCACATAAATGTCCTAGCTAAGCTCAAAGACTCAAACCTTCTTTGTAGGCATGGTAGGAGTTAACCTCCAAAGTTGAGATCGTGGTTATGTCATTTGATCACTTGGGTATGCTTCACCTTTTTGCATTCATTCCTTCTCATATTTGTTGTTTCATAGAAATTTCGATGCATCAAAAAAGAAAGACTTAAAGATATTATCATGGCTAACTTCACACAAGGTAGGAGAGGTAAGCAAGATGCACCTAACAAGAGGACTTCATAGTTATAATCAAGGATAAGAATTTTGTGTCGGTGCATTATTTCAGTTACCTAGAAACCGAAAATATTTCGGAAATAGAGTGGAGACATATAAAACATTGGGAAATTTATTTACAAAATATTTTAAACATTTGTCGAAATATACCGAAACATTTTAAAATAGAGCAATATTATCAGGACCTAATTTGCTGACCTAATTTATTAATGCCTTTGGATTGACTGTGAGACCCATCAAACATTGGAACTTGGTATTAATCCAATGGTTCCATTGAAGCCACAAATTAGGCCAAATTTTTATGTCCAAATAGCATTACTCTTTAAAGCACCTCAAAACATTGGTAAAAATATGTCGAAACAGCTTCAAAACTCTTGACATGCCTCAAACATTAAAATTTTGATTCAATCACTAATTCGTTTTGATTTCCTTGAAAAAAGAAATATTTTGACCGTCGGTGGAAACAGAAGTTTGATCTTTCGTTATTCTGTCTAATTATGCTTAACAACCTTTTTTTTCTTTTCTTTTTGTACAAAGAACTAAAGAAACGATTCCTACAAGTTCCTTAAAATGAAGGTGAATCCTGAGTACACGTGATCAGAGGACCAACAGGCCCAAATATGCAGATAAGAAAACCTATATTGAGAAATCACTCTGCAGTTTTCACTTAAATTCAAAATAGTCCTAAGAATGACTATCAAGTCGTCCTCAATTTGTAAAATCAGCATATGTCGCGACTTCTACTTACATGTACACATTAGATGTGTACACGCATGCATATTTGTAAGAAATATATGGATATGTTGTGACTTCTGACCAACTAAAGACAGTGGTAGTCACTTGTTTGAGAGTCTTCATTACTCATCCTCCTCATTTTGGTACAAGCAACATGCACAAATATATACTTATAAGGCAGACCTGATACCACCAATATATCCAATAAATTTGAAGAAAAAATGAGAAGAAAATAAATCACCGCCATAAATCACCATGTGGTAACCACAATATTAAAAGTGGAATCTAACTGGGCAGGGACAAACCTGGGCGCAAATCCTTGTACTCCATTATAGAACCGGACAAAGCATCCATACTTTTCAATATTCGTTATCCATCCATGTGTAATGAACCCTTCAGTTGCATCAGCATATGAACTAATGATTCCAAGCTTGGATTTCAACTGAAAACAACAGAAGAAATTCTTAGCACGGCGACCCAATGGTTAAATTCTACAAAAAGGAAAAAAAATTAAAATAACTCTTATATTAGAAAGGAAGATGGTCGGATAAGGTGGAAGAGCACCAAGACATGCAGTTCATTGTCCTTACAAAAGGATACAAAATTATTTGAAATTGGTGGCTAAAAATAACTATGGTTGCAATAGTTGAGCTTCAAGTTTCAAAGAAGAAAGCACATTAACTTCAGAACTTTTATGGTTTCTTTCCCCACTCAAAAGGCACCAAATGGCACATGGAGTAGTAAGTGTAATATGACAATTCAAAAATGCTAATGGATGTCATATACTGATTTGTAACAGTTTCATCAAAGCATATGTTTACCCAAAAACAATTTCATCAAAGCAAGCAGCATAACTGGAAGTACCCAAAAACTAAATAGATCATTGGCCAAAAGATGGACCAAAGCTTCACCAATTATGCACCAAACTTACTTCTCTCTACACCAGTTCTTCAGACCCTGACCTGGGGATTGGGATCTGAGATCCAAAGCCACCAGGGCACAAGGCAACACCTTTGTGAGAAAAAAAATTCCCCTACTCACAAAAAGGATTGTCAAAATTTATACCTGATGAGTTTGAAATGGTATGAGCAATGTTCTTCCAAAACATATTGTTGCTCTCCTCCTGTTTAAAGAAGAGATTAAGTCGAGAAGAAGGCAATATCCTTAATCGCAAGTCTCCGCCAACCATTAAAGGCCCAAGACCTTAGTTTCTGTGGCAATAGCCAAAATTAAGGATTGAAGAACAATAAGCTGCAAATGAGCATCTCCATGCTAATACCATGCAAAAGGAATGGCCTAGCCATCTTCAAAGACAAAGTGGATTCATTGTTCAACCTCCTTGAAATGTCTCCCCAGGTTTTCATGCCAATCCCATGTGGATGCAAAATAGCCTGAGAAAACTTATGACCCAATTCAACACCCATGTCTAGGGCGGGTCCTACAAGATATATGGCAATATACATAGTCTAGACATGTGAGGTCTTAGGGTCACTTATCAGCCTGTTCTTAATATTTTGCTGTATTTTCAAATAAGAGTTTGGTGGTAGTGTACTACGAGTGAAATACAAAGTGCCTGAGATGTAACCCCATATGGCCAAGGGTCATTTTTGCCTAATTATTAAGGTTTTTTGGAGGCTATAAATGCATATAAAAGCTGCTGCTCGAGGAGAGCCACCAGAATCTGAATTTCCAAAAATTCAATGGGTCACAGGCACTTAGGCTTCCTATTTCTCTTCCTGTTCCCTCTTCTCTCACCCTCTTCCCCCCTCTTCCCCCCTCTTCCCTTCCTCCTCTCCTTCCTCCTTTCTCTTCTCATTCTTTATTCTCTTGATGTCTCTCACGAAACTACCATCAAACAACTACCAAACAGCATTGCATTGTCAAACTTCGTGGGCAAACTCAATGTTGTGAGAAGCGAGCCCATGCGAGAAGCGAAGCAAGCCTTGGTCACCTTGAATAGCCAAGACAAAGTGAGGTTAAATAAAGTGAGGAAAAAGCGAGTCTAGGCGACGAAGTGAAGAAATGTATGTGTATAAAATAAATTGATTGATTCACTTGATAGTATCATATGGTAATCTGACTTGTTATGATTAACTGATGTTGAATGCTCTGTTTTGTGGTGAATGCTCTAGTTAATCAAAATTGATTAATCAATTTGCTATATGCTCTATTTGATTAATCAATTTATGAGTGTTGTGTTTAGTGGTTATATTAATCAATCACGGTGGGAGTTGAACCCACATTTGCTAACTTTCCATTTAGATGATGTGATTATGTCAATTGATTATTTTTAGAATGCAATAATGTTCAATATTCAATATTTTATCTATTCAAAATATGTAGATGTTTATTATTTTGGTTTCATTTAAATATTTTATATTTGTAAAGTTAAAACTTGAATATTTAGTAGTAATCAAAATATTACACTAAAATATGTTTTTTTATTTTTTATATTGTTCGCTTTGCTTCGACGAAGCGTTCGCTTAACTTCTCACTTCTCGCCTAGGCCCAGAGGAGACCAGTTTGCTTCGATTCACTTTATGCCTTAAATAACACTGGGCAGAGCGAACTATTGCTTCTCAAGAGCTTTCATTAAACATCTATGGACCAGGAAGTTACAGTTCTTATTTCTACTTTTCAAGATATAGAATATGAGAAGAAAAAGAAGACAAAAACAAGAAGAGAATAGGAAAGAGTGGGGACAGATATAGGAACTCTTCAAAGAAGGAAAAAATGGGAAAAACCACTAGAATTCACTAGGATCTTTGAATCCCCGATAAGAAAGTGAAAGAGAGGGGAAGAAAGGAGAGAAACATAGAAAAGTGAGAGAGAGAGAGACGAAGGACAAATGAAGAGGCATAGAGTCAAAAACTCATGCCAACAATCTGAACTCACAATCTTGGAGGCTTATTTTCGTGTGCTAACTTTGAGGCTTATTTATAGACACTACATAACCCAAAAATGTGTCAAAATCATAGTTGTCAAATCGCGATTCGTATCATGAATCATAAGATTCGACATAAAGTTTGAACAAAAATAAAAAATAATACTACATATTTAAAATAGATAAAATATTAAATATTGAACATTATTGCATTCTAAAAATAATCAATTGATATAATCACGTCGTCTAAATGGAAAGACGCTAGTTTTTTGCTTTATTTTCAGTTTTTGTTTAATCATTTTCAAATTCAACAAATTAAAAAAAAAATTCATTAAAGAACCATGGCTATTCAAGAATCAAATAGTGACACCCAGTATAGATTAGGTTACAAACATGAATGGAAAAAAAATAAATAAGAAAATTGATTGGGAGAAAACATACGGGCCAACATTTTGAAACAAAAAATTAGAACCTAAAAAATTACCCATGAAAGAATTGAGAGCAAAAATTAACCGATGATGCGAAAACGTTAGCCGTGATATTTAGTTTTAGACAATACAAGGCGAGCTTTAGACGACGTTAAAGAGAGAATGAGTAAAGAGGTTGAGTTTTTATTAGGGAATAGTTTCCTCTGCAAACAAAACAATGTCGTTTTTCTGTTTAGCGGACAAAATGACGTCGTTTTGTCAAAAATTTTAGTTTAAAAAAAAAAGTGATTAATCGTGCGATTCATGCGATACGAATCGAATCGTACGATTCAGGTGCGATTCAACTCTAAAACGATTCTAATGTAAGATACGAATCGTTTTGTACCTGTATCAAATCGAATCACGAATTGTACGATTTTGATAACTATGGTCAAAATATCAAAAAGTCCCCTAACTAATTGTAATAACATACGAGACCACCAAGTCCTTTCTAGGACACCCCCATTTGCCACAAGATAGAAAAAACAGCAAGCTCATATAAATAACAAGTAGAAGACCCTAATAATTAACACATGCTGCCATTGTTTTTCTTCTTGCAGAACCACATCACATTAATATCTGTTCCCATATTGGAAATCTTTCTCATAGTCACTTTCTTTACTTTCCTCGAGGGCATCTACACCTCCGTCTCTTCTGTCCCTCTCTCTCTCTCTCTCACAGACACACACACATATCTTCTTCCAGATGTAAGTAAATAAAAAATAGATTAATAAAGGAATAAAGAAACACTTTATCTTTCCTTTTTTTTTTTGGGTAGGAAACAAGATTAATAAAGCAACACTTGCATATCTAAAACTTCCTCTCTTTCNATGGTCAAAATATCAAAAAGTCCCCTAACTAATTGTAATAACATACGAGACCACCAAGTCCTTTCCAGGACACCCCCATTTGCCACAAGATAGAAAAAACAGCAAGCTCATATAAATAACAAGTAGAAGACCCTAATAATTAACACATGCTGCCATTGTTTTTCTTCTTGCAGAACCACATCACATTAATATCTGTTCCCATATTGGAAATCTTTCTCATAGTCACTTTCTTTACTTTCCTCGAGGGCATCTACACCTCCGTCTCTTCTGTCCCTCTCTCTCTCTCTCTCACAGACACACACACATATCTTCTTCCAGATGTAAGTAAATAAAAAATAGATTAATAAAGGAATAAAGAAACACTTTATCTTTCCTTTTTTTTTTTGGGTAGGAAACAAGATTAATAAAGCAACACTTGCATATCTAAAACTTCCTCTCTTTCTCGCATGTTTTCTTTTCTTCATATTGAAATGGAGACCATCATTCTACTACTAGATTATAGAATTTATGAACTCTTATTGGGGCCTATCATGTATAGCCCTACGTTTAGGTGAAGCAGCCTGAGTTTAATATCTTGTGGTAGTTTCAGTTTATAGCTGGTTTTAGTGTACTAGGAGTGGAATTTAAGCGCTTAATATGCAACCTTGTAAGACAGAATTGTTTTGGCCATTCTTACCCAACTTCAGGGTCTGTGGAAGTTATAAACAAGTCTCAAGCTGCCGCTCAGTTTATTGTCAGCGAAAATTTTGCTAAGTCAAACTCAAACCACATTGTGCAGCCACCAATCACATTATGATGGTTCTGATTGAATTACTTCTAATCTTCATTGTGCAGCCTATTTGATCATCTTAGAGGCCATTGGTTCACGGCTCACTCAGGCAATTTATGGGTGTAATCAATTTTTTTTGTTAACAAAACATGCGACATTTGTTTGCAACCAATATGTTTGAGACTCTTAAATTATGTTAATATTCAGGCATCCAACCAAAGAAATAAGTTGGACTGAAAATTCAAACAGTAGTTTAACTAAATCCACTTTAGAGGAAACTTAACATGGCAATTGGAAAGGTTTAAAGAAATGAACAAAGCGTCACTATGAAGCATTGCAGAGGGCATACAAGTGTTTTCTTGTGCGTAACAGTAATCCTTTTCGACTTGCAACCAAGCACACGGAAAACAAATTCAACTCCAACCTGCACAGAATTAACAAATTGAACTACAGGTGTAAGGAAATAAGGAACACCACTTCATAAGTCAATGAAAATTTCTGAACACATTTAAATAGTATGTGGTTGCTGATGACCTGGAACTTTTTCCTTGGCTTCGTTATTTCAAACTCTGACATATGTCGAAGAGGACAAAGTGCCTTCACACCGCTGGCAAATTGCACAATGGCGCCAAAACTGTCAATGGCTATGACTTTAGCCTTCACTACCATGCCAGGCTTCACATCTGAATGAGTGAAAACTGACCCTTCAAAGGCACTTGTCTACTCAAGGACCAAAAAAGAAAAAAAAAAGGCACAAACCTTCTCAGAACGAAAAACATAAGGACAACATAAATAATTTGTAGAGGTGTCGCTTAGAACATAAATGGCAATATTTCAGTTTGCATTATAGTAAAAGCAACAAACCACAAAATTTGCTTCATGCTTAACAACAATATAACCTTCCCTTAAATCAGATTCCAACTAATTGACTAGCAAAATTAATATTTTAGTAATAACAGGCCACATATACCTTACACATATTCATAAGCCTAAAAGATTATTCTATACGGACAACTTTTGAAGTTCATGAGTGGAAGTAATGGGGATTTTCACAAAAAAATACCTTACACTCAATATCCATAGGCAAGTAAGGAGGGAATTTGATGCAAAAAGTTCAAAAATATTCAAAAAATATAACTGGTGCCTTTACCCAACCACCGTTACTACTTACTAAAAGATCAAAATCCACTCTCCCCCTCCCAACTACATGTCTATCAACTGATCAACAAGTCGGAATCGCTTGACTATGTAAAGACATTTAGTATAATTTCCTAGTAATTGAACAGAATCAGATATAAATCCATTTATGCAAATGACAAGAGCTTTTTGCACATAAAGTTGAACATAAACAAGAAAAATGTAGGGATCTGTTTGGATTGCGTTTCAAAAACTAGTATCTGAAAACAGTTTTTGAGAAGAGTTTTAAAAAAGTGGTTTTGATATTTTTTGAGATAAAAAACTTGTTTGGTTAGATGATTTCAAAAACAATTTAACAATACAGAAAATAGTAAAACCTGTTTGGACAGCCTAAATATATATTTGAACAGTAATTCAAACATTAATAAAAAAATATAAAAAATTTATTTTTATATTGACAATTTCATAATATATATATAGTTATTTATTTATTTATATTTATATATATATATTCATATATACATATTATAATATAATATAATATTAATATATAATNAGTTATTTATTTATTTATATTTATATATATATATATTCATATATACATATTATAATATAATATAATATTAATATATAATATATATTAATATATTATAATAATATTATATATTATATAATATATTATAATATATATTATGAGAGAGGAAAAAGTAAAAAAAAAAAGAATGAAGAAATTTGCTGCTAAGGAGACTCGAAGGACAGACCTCATTAAAGTCCAAAATTGTTCTCATTGTTTTCAAAATTTTCAAAGAATACTCTGAAAACAAGCTAAACTTATTTTCTGTTTCTTTAACTCAAATCTCATTTTTTCTCAAAATTTTGATAACAAAAATGCTACAGAAATAAGTTTTGGGTGTTTTTGAAATTTTGATAACAAAAAACAGTTTTCGAAAAGCTAACAAAACCTGACTTAGATTTTCAGGAGAAATCAACATAATGAAGTATGAAAACCACAAAATATAACTAGGATCTGTTTTGTGATAACAAGCCTTGAATTAATTAAGGGAAATGAAATTACAGATCTTCTAAGATCTCCTGCTCTGTTCTTCACACAATACGAGCGTCTTTCTAATACAGGCCTTGAAGCACAACCACATGCTTAGCCCGCAACAAAGCATACAATTATTACATGGTTGAAAAGTTGAGCTCATTGAAATTGAATTCCACAGATCATTCATCGAAAAAAGTTAAATTTCCATTGATTGCTAAATACCACAATACAAATGCAATTTCCTCCAAATTTGTTTTGTGCGCAACATAGAAAAGGAACTATAAAATAAGTAGGGAAGCACAGAAAGAAGGAAACATTGTTTACCTGAAAGTGGAAGACCAACAAAAGAGTTGGAGTTTAGAATACTAACAATTAACTTTACATGGTCCCACACTGGGTGTAACGTCTTCAATGACATGGCATTAAACAAAATAAGAACTTGCAACCAAAAAAAAAAATTCCATTTGGGAAACGGCCGAAACGTTTCCATTTTCAAATTTCCANAGGTCCCACACTGGGTGTAACGTCTTCAATGACATGGCATTAAACAAAATAAGAACTTGCAACCAAAAAAAAAAAATTCCATTTGGGAAACGGCCGAAACGTTTCCATTTTCAAATTTCCAAATTTTTTAGCTGTTTTCATTTTGTTTCCAAAAAGTTCTTACTTCCTAGGTGACCAAAACAATACACGAAAATGAATTTTTCATCCTTGCTTGGAACATTAGATATGGATAACAAAAAGGCTAGGATTTCAGGGCTTCTGTATAACTTAACCACTCCTAACATTTCATGTGGGTTGGATTAGAATAACCCTGAATGGCGACTATTGCCTCTTTTGTCGTAATTCTCAAATCTCAATCTACTTCTCCTACCTTCTTTCTGTCCTTCTCACATTTTCATTGCTTTTACTCTCTTAACCTTGTTGATTATGTTGATCAGAAGCTTTCTTGCAGCTTTTTACTTGCCCATGGAGGCCCACACTACATTTGTAGGAGAGTTCTTACCTTCTTCATCATTTCTCCATGCAATTCCTCTCTCATATTATATCTCTTCATCCGTTTCCATCAAACCACGTATATTGATGAGCACCAGGGACACCTTAGTAAATTTTTTCCATGGTTGAGACATTAAAGTCCCTTATTCCTTGTTGCTTCAATGTCATTTTCAGTTTCATTTCATAGTTTTACGCTGTTAATCAGGCTTTTTGGCTATTGTTACTCTTGCGGAAATCTTATTTAATCTTTGCTTATTACTTTGGTCCTCATCTTGACTAATTGATTAACAGGCCAACTTGACTCACATAAAGTTTTCCATATTCTCTGGAAGTCTAAATAACCCTGCATTTATTTAGAAAAGCCAACCACAAGAATAGATTTTAGTAATGAAAGCATTGAAAGCAACCTTCAAAACACCAGTGGCAAGCCCTTCCAAGTGCCTAAAGCCAAGAATTCTAACACGAACAATGCTTTTTTCTTTAAAACTTTTTTCCAATTTCTGGATTTCCTTATCAGCCGCATCAAAAACCTGTAATCCGCATGAATTGACTATCACTGCTGATAATTTTACCACGCTGTATGAATAAATTATTTAACCATTACAAAATAAAAGTGCTAGATAAACTTACACTAACATATGCTGGAGTTGGAATCGGAGAAGTGGGAATTTCCAGCAGAAGACCCAAACCTCTGTCAACCCTGATCACTTTTGATTGGTCGAAGATATCTCCAGTTCTAACGAGCTGCAGAACAAAGGTTCATCTTATTTAAAGTAGAAAAAAATCCATATAGATGTAAGAGAGAACAGCCGCGAGAAAAAAGAGGGCAACAAGACAGAAAGAGAAAGTTTAGAGAAGAATTTTTGATTGGGTCATCACTTAGGATAGCTAAAAAAGGAGGAGAAGCGAGCATATATATATATATATAGAGAGAGAGAGAGAGAGATTAGACAACCAATGTGACTGGAGATCAAGCCAGTAGTTAGGCTTGCCGGGCATATATTAATCAACACATGCATACCCTGAAGGTAATAACTAATAATATTTACATGATTCATTAAGAATACTTATTTGACTGGCAGCAATCAACTTTATTTTAGAAGATGAATAAAAACATTAAAATGAACAGTTACAAACGAACCTTGTTAGGCAAGATGATAACATGTTTTTTCTTGGTTCGTCTTGAAGTATAAAAACTTAAGTTACACTCAGCTTAAACTTTTAGAGTGGATGGTGATTGACATAGTACCACCGTACCAGAGCGGAAGGTCCAAAATTCAAATCTCACCGGCACCCTATTAATTAAAAGATTTGTGCGTCCTAGGCCCAAAATCTATCATGCACATGAGGGGACATGTTGAAATATAAATACTACTCTCTCCAACAACTTAAGCTTTTAGAGTAAATGATGATTTAACAGTTTGAAAGGTAATGATAGCCAACTGTTTTCTAAAAATTAAAGTTCATTGCACAAAGAAAAGGCCAAGTAAAGCCAAACCTAAGAGCTGCATTAAAAAAAAAATTGGTGATATGATACATTTTTTTTCTTTGTTTGAAAGAAAATGCTCCGCAACATATACGATATGTTTTCCAAAAGTTAAGATTCCTCATTGCACAATGTATAAGTCAAGAAAAAGCCAAACTAAAAAAACCTAAGAACTGAATCTTAAAAGAACCCATGCCCAACATGTAGGTAACCAAATTCCGAACCCAACCCCACCCCCCCCCCCCCCCCCCCCCAAAAAAAAAAAAAAAA